AGATTTCATAATAGCCAATTTCTTTCCATAAGAAGATTAAGTCCTTATTAATCAGGATCGAGCGAGCTATTATGTTGTGCTGTCTAGTATTTTCGTAACCATCTTTGGACGGATATTCCTCAGGAGTATTTTGCGTCGCACTATGGAATCACGTTGCCTTATTGGTCTAGGAGGAAACGGAATAAATTTCATATGTAGTATTAAATCTTTAATGGCATTAAAGTTTTTTTTTAAAATATCTGGAGCATCACTTATTGGATGTGGCCCACCAGAAGGAAAGTGAAACAACTCCATATCATTGCCTTTTATACACAGTTCGCTTGTTTCAAACTGGCTTTTCGCAACTGATAGGTTATATGTGAAGACCGATAATTGTAAATCACTACCCCAGGGTTTATGTGACTTTTTTTCTAAAGATCTTATGTCGAATTGTCCGACATTATGTGATATTTTCTTTTCAATTAATTTTAAATCATAACTTCCGTAGTGAATAAGAAGTTTTTGAATAAAATATCTTGAAAGAATTCCTCGCTTAGTGATAATGGCTTGCGCAACGGACACACTAATAAACGACGGACCCAATCTCACGGCATGAAATAATGCATGAGCTCTTACATAGTTTTGGATGATCCATGCTGCTCTTGCATTTTCATTTTTAACAACACTCGACTATGCTTTTGAACTTAAAGCCAAATTTTTAGGATTTTCAACATATTGAAAAATTGTAAATTGAATTTTTTGAGTAAATTTTTTGGCAGCCATATACTTCCATAATTTCAAATGTATTGTTATATAACCTTTATATATACATGTATTATAACTATTGAACAATTCTTTTAAAAAAAATGAAACATTATAAACAATAAATCGCTATATATAGATTTATTAAAATTTATGTTATCAGGGTTTTTAACTTCCGATAGGGATGTTAAGTGATCTTTTAAGAGGCCGGGTCCGGACCGGTTAAAGGTCTCCGGACCCCGACCCTACTGATTCGAAGCCGCCAATCTTTTCCTTTTTATTTTATTATTGTTCTATCTGTTTTATAAAAATTTAATTAGCTAGCTCACTTGTAGTAATTAATAAATATGTATGATAGTGTTAGAGAGAAAACCGGTCAACACCAATCAACCAAAAACATAGCAACAACTATGCCTGAAACGATTATAGAGGCGGATTCGATTTGGCAAGGTATGGCTTGGTTCAGGTACGTTGCGCGGGACAGCACTAGACTTCAGTTAAACTTAGGGTAACGACAATCTTTTTCTTTTATTAATATCACTACTCTTTATTAAAGGTAAATGACAAGGCTTTTTATACAAGAGAATTACAGTTTGGGTTTTTACTCAATATTACTAAATTGAGTATCAGGGGGGAGAATCTGCAAGTTACAATGACTAAAATGCTAACATTTGAATCTCAGAGGTATCATGTGATTTTTAACAAAGATTTGCCTTGAACCAAACCCAAGATAGCATTTGATTAATGCTTCTGTTATATGCCAATTGGGGATCTTAGGTTTGAGGCTTAGCTTAGTTCAAGATCACGACTTGATTATATTTCTTGTGTGTCTTTGCTAGATCACATTTTGTCCTTAACAATTCTCTTAGTCTTATTTTATGTATTCTGCATAAAGATTAAATTAAATTTTTTTTTTTTTTTTAGAGTACAATATAATGAAACAAGTGTTATATCTATATAATTTCTTATGAGATCTTACAGATAGTTATAAGCTCTAAACATATACTAACAAGTTAATGATATTTTATGAGTATAGATTTATAATATTATATATACTGTATTTCATAATTGCTTCTCAAGCTTATTATAATTTGTAGAAGTTTAGTATTTTAGTTGTCTCCTACTTCCTATAGATACAATTAACTATAATTAACTTGATTTGTAGTAAATAACTCAAATAGGCTTATATGTTGTTATAGGATAGATTTTTAGTTATTTCATTATTATTTTATTATTATATTTTAGTTATATTATTAGTTACATTTATTAATATTTAGTCATTTCTTATATTGTATTATTTTAGTATAGATATTTTAGAGTAGAGAAAATTGTTATAAACATTCACCTCTAAGTGAA